GGGCAATACCACCCAGATCTTGCTGTCACCACACGAGAACTCAGCCAATCTTAGAGAGAGAAGAATTCAGCGTCGCAGAGAGAGAGAGAGAGAGAGAGAGAGAGAGAGAGAGAGAGAGATGCGATGGGATGGAAATCTGAGTTTGGTGGGATCAGACTGTGAGCACCTAAATTGGCACCAAAAGAGAAGACGGTGAAGAAGAAGAAGAAGAAAGGAAAATTTTGGAATTTTAGACCAGATGTCAGAATCCTGTTACGCTATATATATATATATATATACAAAGAAATATAAAAAGAAAACAAATAGTATATATCTATATGCTAAAAGAAAATAAATATTGATTACTGATAATAAAATGAAAATTAGAAAAGAAAAAACGAATATAAAATTCAGAGAACGAGAGGTGGGGGTGTTGTGGTGTGGTGTAACGTCACTACCGCTTCTGTGAAAACAAGTAAACAACTGGCCATTGTTTTATTATTTTTTGTTTTTACTCTTTTCTTCTTATTTTTTTTTTCTCACTTGCAAATTTAAATTTTTCTATAATATGTTGACTTCTTAGGGAAAATTTTTAGTTTTAATGTTTGATTTTTTTTAAGATAACGCTGAGGAAGGTTTATGATTAAGTGAACAAATAAGGTTAAAGCTATATTTAAGGTGAGTAAAGCCACTTTAAAGCCATCGCAAGATATTTGTCAATTCTCATATAGCAAGTTTTTTATTTGGCAATGACATTAATATTTACGAATATCAGGAAATAATATACCACTAATAATTCGAGATCTGTAATTAATAAACAAAAATGGTAAAATGATTAAGTTTATCACTTTAGCGTTACTTTTATTTTTCTAATATTCAAAATTCAAATATAGAACATAGAATTATGCTAAATACTTCTTGGACATAATATGAGCATTAATTTCTTTACTAAAAAAGTGTTTTTTTTTTTAAATTTCTTTTTCTTTGATTAGATCTTGAAAATCCTCAACTAATCCGCCCTCAGTTTTGCCACAAAGTTTGTCAAAATTTGAGGAAATAAATTTTATCATAAATTAGTAAAGAAAGTTGGTGGCTCTATTATTCGGGAGCATGATTTAATTCTGATTATAATTACAATACGTTTTACTTTTAGCTAAGAAAGCAATGTACTTAAGTTTAGGATGTGATTTTGATATACATTAAAGGTGCTCCATTACCTTAATTGCTCTCATATTCATTTCGAGAATGATTTGCAAATTAAGAAACTCATAATATTGTCAACGTTTTGCTATGTAGAGTCCTTTGGTCATTATCATTTATTTTTCTTTAATTAATAGGAGTCTCGTTTTTATAATTTTTCTGTATCAAGTAAAATAGATTTGGTACCCTAAAAAAAAAAAAAAAAAAAAGGCTTTGGGATGTCTAAGAATATGAGGTGAGATAGGGTGAGGGTTTGAGTTTGGAAGAATGCAGGTTGGATATGATTTGCATATAATAATAATAATAATAATAATAATAATAATAATAATAATAATAAAGTCAGTCTATTACAAATAGATTCCAAGAAGAAGAAAAAAAGTCTTACAAAAAAATTATTGGTTGCATTTGTAGTACAAATGTATAATACTGTAAATACCTTGCCATTATTAAGTTAATGAAAACAATAGAACATAAGATTAAAGATATGTGTCGCATTTACATTATAGTTTGTGCAAGTGAGTATTTTTTTTAAATAAAATAAAAAGATATACATATATCAATTTAGCATTATATTTGAGCAGCAGAAGTTAGCATTATTATATATTTCGAAATTAATTTTTTAATTAGTTAGTGTTTTTGTTAAGGTTGTAATTCAATTCAGGGCCTCGTTCACTTCGCGGATTCGAGTTTTCAATTCGAGTTGAGATGTGACATTTTCTGAGAGCTTTTTACTGTAGCAAAAAAAGTTAGATGTGATATTTTCTGAGAGCTTTTTACTGTAGAAATTTAAAACTGAAAACTCAAATCGGTGAAATGAACGAGACCCTTATATTTAGGAGATTCCGAAGGTTATTTGATTTTTAAATTCTTATATTATGTGTATATATTAATTATTATAAAATAGAAAAGGCTATGCCATTATTTTTTAAAATAATTTGTTGATTATCAAGTATCAAGACTCCCACACTGGATAACTAGTTGCAAAGCATTCCGCTATTCTCTCCCCAAAAAAGCTAATGAATTTTGCTGAATTGCTTAAAGGGTACTGTTGGTTTTTGCTTTATTTTATTACCCAATAAAAAACACTAGAAAATTTGTGGGGCAATTCTTAATCTAAAAAAAAAAAAAAGAAAGAGAAAAAAAGAAAGAAAGAAAATGAGTGCGTCAAGTTGGCTTGCGTTACTCACCGACATTTTTCCATGTGCATGTCCTTTTTTTTCTTTTCTTTTTCTAAAAAATAAAAGGAAAGAGAGAGTTGGATTTTTTTTATTTTTTTTATTTTTTATGAAGGTAGAGAGTTGGAATTTTTTCATTGACTCAGTAATGTACATTTCACAATTAATACACGAAGGTTATATCTGGTGAAAGTAAGAGAAAATAAGGAGAAAAAGACACATAATCTAGTCTAGATAAAAAAAATGAGAAAAATAAGATGATTTTTATTGAATTTGTAGAGAACTTTTTTTATAAAATTTCTCTATATTGGTAGATATTAAAGTTTTAAAATTCTTCTATTAATCCTCTCTCTCGTATCCCCCACTAATTGTGGAAAGTGAATGCATTATAGTGTGCATTTTATAATTACGGGTTAATATGGGGTATTAAATTTTTTTCTTTTTGTAAATTAAACCTTTTTTTAAAGTGTAAATTATACTGTTTTGGGTATTCAATTTGTTTCTTTTTGTAAATTATACTGTTTTTTTATTTTTTGAAGCATATCTGGAATATTCTACTTCATTGCTTTTTGGAAGATACTAAGGTCTCGTTCGTTTCGATGATTCGAGTTTAGAATTTGAGTTGAGATGTGATTGTATGTGAGAGCTTTTTACTGTAACAAAAAAGTTAGATGTGATTATTTGTGAGAGCTTTTTACTGTAGCAAAACTTGAATTCTAAACTCGAATCAGCGAAACGAACGAGGCCTAATTTTCGAAGGAAAGTTCGTAGCCTGTACCATCCGCATCAACTAATTAAAAAAAGTGTCCGATAAAAGAGGTCAAGGAAAACCAACCACATGAGAATCAACCATTCAACTTTTTTTTTTAATAAAGGGAAATTTCATTATTAAAAGGAATGAAATACAAACTCGACATAAAATTGTAAATGACCTCCGATATAATGGATTCGACCCAAATAACTGGACTCATCAATAAAAAAATTATAGTACAAGGACGAATACTAATATCGACACCTAAAGGAAAAAATCCCAATCGACACATAAAAATTGAGTATGGTCGAAGCACGTTGAAAATGACCAAACAGTCAATGGATTAACTCATTCGACTGAGACCAAACCTCTTGTATAGAGAACAGTTACACGGCCTAAGGAAATTCTTAACCGCACTAAACAACTCACACCGATGGTTAGGGCTGGCAATCCGGGTAGCGACATGACGACACGACTCGAAACCCCCATGAAATTAGCGGGTTTTGGTTTATCATAAATAGGTACAGGTCAAAATCAGGTCGAACTCGTGAAACACGATTAAATAACATGTCATTTTTAGGTTGACTCACCAACCCGCAATTGACCTGCCATAACCCGTTTATTAAACGTGTCATATTTGGGTAACACGAATACCCAACCCGTTTATTACCCATTTTATAAACATGTTCAAAAATAGGTTCAGAAATAGGTTAACACGACCCATTTATCACCTATTTTATAAACATGTTTAGAAATAGATTAAGACGATTCATTAATCACCCATTTTATAAACGGGTTGACACGACACGTTTATGACCTGTTTAATAAACAAGTTATTCGTGTCGAGTCGTGTCAACCTGTCAATATACATGTCGTGTTTGGGTTTTGTATTTCGACACGATCAATAAACGGGTTGTGTTCGTGTCAGACCTATTCGTGTCAACTGAGGGGATTAACACGACACGAACCGCCAACACAAATTGCTGCCCTACCGATGGTGATCGACTCAACCGGGTGGAGGACATAACCAACATTGGGAGGTGTTAATACCACCACCTCCTTTATTATCAACGCCCCAAAACCCAAAACAAACACATAATCAAATCAACACTAAACACAAGTCCAGAGTACGGCCACCACCGCGAAGCACGTGTCTGAGATCCCTCAACGCCAGCCATCATGAAGCCTCAGCTACCCAACTATGTCCACATGCCCATCGAAACTCATCAACGGCCCTAACTTGGCCATCCCCACGGCAAGATTAGAGGTACCGCCAACCACCTACAATCGGCAGCACAAACCCAACCACAACCACGATTGGATCCCTCAACACCGACAACAGGCGAATGGCGGCCAAAACCGCCCAAAAGGTAGCAGATCTGAGCACCATCCAACCACTCTCTCCCACCGCAATCCAACTCAGCCCGATCTGAGACTAGATCGACAACGGAGAAAATCCCTCTCCCAGTTGTGCACCCGTTCTCCGATTCCAGCCAAGCTCCACTCCCCTGGCGACACGAACCTCGGCACAACGTAGATCGGCCAGCAACAACCCTCCGGATGAATATCGGAGGCCAGTAGACCGGCGATGCGCCGGCCCACGGGCCCCAGGAACCTCTCTCTTACTGCTTCTCTCTCTCTCTCTCTCGTTCTCTTTCTTCTTTCTCTCTCCCTCTCTCTAGCAAATTGATTAAATTTCCGATCAGCCATTCAACTTTTAAGTTCAATTAATTGCAAAATCCACTGGGGATTTCTTTACTGTTATTATTATTTTTTGTTCAGAATGAATTTTCAATAAAACTGTTGAACCCTTTTAATCATGCCTTGGAACAAAATGTTCTACGTCAAAACCTGACAAACATTGGTTTATGATATCGCATTTCTACCTAACAGACAATACCACATTAACTTACATTCTCTATTTTGTAATTTCTAAACTTATACACACACATATATCGGCTGTTCATTTTTCTTCTAGTTCAGAGCCTAAAAACAGAAGATCATTTGCCAATTTATTAAGAAATATTGAAGCACATTGTTGTATCCAAGGACCAAGATAAATTCTTCTGAATTTTTCCATTTTTTCTTATGGTCGATTCCTTTTTTTTTTTTTTGGTCTCTTCCAATTGTCAATACTTATTATTCAGCAATTATTGCACACAATCGCACATCTAGTAATTTTTTAATTTATAAATAGAGAATTTTTTTAGTGGGGAATAAAAAAAATGTATTTGTTATTATTGTGCAACTTTAGACCATCAAATCTTTGTCAAATTTCCATAGTTTTGTATGTTTTTTAAAAATTTTGATGCTTCAAGTCAATTTTGATTGTAAAATGAAGTGTTACTTTTGTATCTCATTACATAATTCTCCTAAATAAATGCTAAAAAAAATTTCTTGTCACTTTCTGAACTAAAGTCTCTAGTTTTTCTTCCTTTGCTGGGTGGGCGTAATATTAAATTCGGAGAATGAGGTAAATAACCTTTCTTAGGGATTAAAAATAATAGTCGGAGTTTTTCCCATAAAAAAAATAAATGTCGGAATTTTTTAGAAGTTAGTAAATAGCTGGATTTGGAAAACAAAATTTAAATAAATTTAAAACCACCCATTATCAAATTTTAAAAATCTGGCTATGATTTATCAATATTTACTTATTATTTATTATTTTTCCGTTCATACAATATTTACCAATTTTTTACTTAACAAGATTATTTTTTACCCTTACAAAACTTTTTTAATATTAAAAAGACCATTTACTACAAATTATAATAAATAGGTTATTTACTCTATTAAAGATTTTAAAAACCAATTATTTTTCTTTCAAAAAAAAAAAAACCAACTATATTTTGCTATAATTTTTCTTAATATCTCTTATTCCCATGTTATTTAGTACACTTATTCAATATATGGGATTAGAATCCGGATTCTTACAAATGATAGGGCTCATTTGGTGGGATGGCTCTCACTATCTAGTTGAGTATCATTTGGATATAGAAGTAAGAAACTTCATGAGACATGCTCCTATAAAATAAAGTAAAAAAAAATATGTATGTTCTTTTTTAGATTCAAATCACAACTTTAAATTCTTTTGTTATAATATTTTTTTTAATAAAAATTTATATTTAATTTTTTTATTATAATATTTCCTGTCACATAAAATTTATTTTACAACTCAAATTCTCAACTCGAGTTCACCTTCAAAGTTTTAAGATGACTATTTACATGACACTCGACATGATGAAATGGACTTTTCTGGCTTGGAACAAAAACCTATGTAAGATCATAAAATGAAGAAAAATTAAAGAAAACGAAACTTCATAAAAAACCAATGCGCTGCTAATGAAAACAAAAGTGCATGGTTTTTTATAGTATCCGAAAGTACAAAAATAATAGTGTAAAATCGATCAATGTAAGGGGAAAAGTAAAAAAAAAAAAGGCTCATTTTATATTAGCAGAGTTGATTTTGATTGACGTTTCAATGTTTTGCTACTTTTTATTTGGTTTTATCTCTTACCCGATTTGGAAACGTAGATCTATATTCTGACTAGTATAATATCGTTTATTTTATCGATTTAAATTTAAAATTCGAGTTTTGTTACAGTAAAAAGCTCTAAAAAATAATAACATTTAACTTTTTTACTATAATAAAAAATTCTCACAAAAAATCATATCTTAACTCAAATCAGTGAACTAAACGGGCACATGAATATACCCATCTTTGCAAAAATTGTATCAAGCATAATTACATTACATTACATGATAAAAATGTGTCGGTGGCATCTTAACTGCATCATAGAAACTTTTTTGAAACTTGATACTGAATGGTGAAAAATTAACAATATTCTCTTTCCTTCACTGAAAAGACGTAAATGTAATATGATTCAAAAGCACTCTACATTCCCACCTTATGTTAAAGAGCAATTATGTGGTCCAATTTTAAGAGGCCAACACAAACAAAACACCGATTTCTTTTTCTTCACTTATACGAAGTCAACCTTTTACTAACCTAGTTGGAAGGTGGGTATTCTTTTATACATAGATGTTTATTTTTCAAAGGCTTTAGCTTCAATTCTTAGTTTTATAATTCTCAAAAAAGTTCAGTAGAATTATGTAATAAAATTGAAAAGGAGACATTTCTTGAAAAATAATAATTCAAAAGATTGAGAGAACGAACATAAGATTAGGGGTAAAAAAGGTATAAAAAAAAAGAAAAGAGAAAATAGCAGAAATAATAATAAAAAGTGGACTTATGTAGGGTTATATTTGAGAAAATTTATTATTTTTTTTAGAAGAAGAGAAAAATTACTTTATGGTTATTAGGGAAAAAATATATATTTATGAAGATCACTATCAAATAATATTTTAGAGGATTATATTCAAATAACATAATTTTTATAGGAACAAATTAAATTCAACTATTTTTCATCCTTTAGTAGTATTCTTGCGCTTATAAAACTCACCACCTGCCACCATAACAACTTCTATGAATGATAAATTATATCCCAAAATATGTAACATGTTGAAACTTAGAGTGCGTTTGGTTGATAGATTCGGGTCATGGTTCGGATCATGATTCGTGACTTGTTGCAGTGTTTTTTCTCACAAAAAACACACGTAAATTAAGAATGGTTTTAAATCATGATTCTGAATCAATCAACCAAACGTCCACTTAATTTAAGTTCTCGGAAAGTTAATCTATGGAGACTCTAAAGTAAAGACAAGATCATGGTTTTCTTATGACAGTTATCTATTAAAGAGTTCCCATTTGTATATTAGTAGAAATCTATCACATTTTTCATGCTCTTTCAAGAGTATTAATGTACCACTTAGCCCGAGGAACATGCTTTTTGTGTTGCCTATCTTCAAGCATTGTTTTAAGAATTTCCATGACCACCTCTGCTTAAGAAAAGGTCATTTATTCCTTCACCGTCACGTAAACTACTATACATCAATCATGCAGTCTGATACAATAGTATGACCAGGATCTGGAGAAGTTGCAAAATGACTAAGGTAACCCTAGAGGTGGTTTAGCGCAGAAAAAACTTACCCGTCCCATCCCGTAGGCCAACTATGGATATGTGAATGGATCTGAAACTTAAGGGTATGTTTGTTTCGCAACTCAAGTTTTTAACTTCAATTGTGCATGTGAGAGTAACAAAAAAGTTGAAATTGAAATTTTAAGAGAGAAAACACTAGCAATAGAACTTGAGTTGTGACTTGAGTTTTGAAAAAAATAAGGCGTTAGAGTCCCCCTATAGTACTGCCAATCAAATACGGTCGTACCACTTTCAGGCGTTTGATGATGGTCCACTCAAGGATCTATATGGTTGAAATTTTTTTATTGTTGGATCACAGATGATAACAGTAGCTCAAATTTCGACAGTCCATTTTGATTTGTCCCTCATCCAACGCATTATAAATTTTATGCAAGAAAAATACATGTTGTGCCATAATTTTGGCCGAAACTTTAAGCCAGAGAGAGTCATGTGAAATTCCTAAATGTCTACGTGTGATGATGAACTAACAAGAAACAATAAAAGAAAAGAAAACATGAGAATTGAGAATGATTCACAATACTCAGTTTGGTTGACACGAAGATGAAGTAGAGTAGAGGTAAATTTTTACTTTTCATAGGAAACTGTTTAACAGGTACATGGAAATCTTCCAATTTATCAAGCTGATAATGGTACAACCATGTAATAATGATGATGTGCTTGTGTATTGTTGTTACTGATGAGACAATGCCGGTCCTTGAAAATTTTGAAAGAAAACGAAAAATACACTGGCATAGATGGTTAAAAATGAGAGACAAATAATGAGAGAGGGGCCAGTACTACCATTTTCTAAGTGCTAACATACATGATCATATCATACAGTTGCAGTTTTGAGAGACAGAAAGTCCGAAATCTTGTTGGTGTAAAAGTCTGGTTGTATGGCGTTGTTGGGACTCTTGAGCATTTCCAAAGTTGTTACACCTATTCAGGAGAGAAGAAAATTCTTTATTGGGTTCATGTTAGAGAAAAAGACTACTAGCTATGCAAACACCAAAGAAAGTCACCTGAAAGGACAAGAAGAGTTTTACAACCGCCATTTTGTCCAAAAAGAATATCGGTATCTAGTCTGTCCCCAACCATGCATATCTGCGACTTTTGGATCCCAAATCTGAAGTTGATTTAATCCAAGTCACTAATGTTAGATATTGCATACCCATTACTACTTACAAGGAACTTTAACTTGTTTGCATATCGTTAATCAGGTCTTTCGTATCATTAACTGTGTCCAACACATCTAATGTATAATATTAAGATTATGAAGACATAATTTTTAGTAAGAAATAACAAGGATTTTGGAATTACTTGTTTGATAAGTAGTCCATCATAAAAGTTGAGGGCTTCCCAACCACAATCGGTTCACGTTGAGTTGATCCACTGATAGCACCGTTCATAGAACCACCTCCTGAAATCAAGTAAAAGTATGACCTTAGGAAAAAAATGATAAGGCATACAATTTTCTTTACATCTTACAAGTTATCTGTTCTAAATAAGCATATGCACAAAGAAAAGACTAATCTACTGAGAATGAACTATTAAGATTAATCCAGAAGTATATATCTGGAAACAATTAACCAATAGTCAGATTTAGGGATTATCTTAAAAGCTGTTTATCATAATATGGGACAAATAATGTAAAGAACGGCATGAAAAAAGGAAAGATCAGAGGTGAACCAGCCCATTCTTGAGCATCTGTAAGATGAGTTACTGCATCACGATTTGTTGCAATGAAGAGACAGCCAGGATTTTCACGTATACATAGTGTGGCATACCTTCAATTGTAGGAACAATAATTCATTATAACCGAGTAATTGACAAATGATCAAATCTATGTATTTGATGCACATATAACAAGTCATATATTTCGACCATAAGATGAGTCTTTTGAAATCTAACTTTTTGAAAGTGAAATCCTGCCAATGATTTTCATTTCGCTTTCATGAAGTCAAGAGCAAATAATACTAAATAATAAAGTAAATTAAACAAATAAAGTACTGAAAAGAGCATAAATACATTGTGTTTTAATAGAAAAGGAAGCTGTATTTCTTGTCTTCAAGACTAGGAAATGGACATACAAACAGTCATGTTTATAAGAACTTACTGAATTTTGTAGTAGTTGAAATAGCGATCAAATCCGACCACAACAGCTCCAACCTAGAATGCAATAGGAAAATCTCATTACCATATTGAAGAAGATCAGTTGAAAATTCTAGAAAGCATGGACACACGTTAAGTCAATGAGAGTGAGTTATATTTGTATTATGCTCTCGGAACAGAAACAAGAACATACATCGTGATCATGCTCCATCAGAAATCCTGGCTTTAGCTCTATCTTCTTGTCGCCATCTTCCTGTAATAGGGGGAAAAAAGGAACAAACGTAAGATATGTGTCGTAGGTAATTAAGAAGTCTGTATTATGGTAACTTAGCAAATGGCAAGGCCTATAGCAAGCCACAACATATCCCAGTCTAGATTTCAAGATAAACAGCTATATGTAAACATCACTAGCAGGAAAAAGTATGCTACGACTGCTGATATGTAAGGAACACAGAAACACAGGAACACAAGAACAAGGATATATGGACATAATGAGTTCAAAGTTAATGATCATTTGTGCGTGGATATAGATAATGAATTCAAAAACAATAATTAAAAACTACATAGTCTTGCGCTGTGCCTTTGCGCTTTTTTTTTTTTTTTGGCAAAATGAACACTAGATCACTTGTTATGACAAACCATTGCAAATATATAAAACTATCAAGTGTAGTCACAAGTTACATACTGGTCCACCAAGGTACTGAATTCCAGCAAGCTCAAGCTCCTTTAAGATTCCATCCTCTCCAATCACATAAACCTAAAACGTGTCCGACCATTGGTCAAGGTTGTGATTAAAGGGAATCATCCATTGACAAATGTAATGTAGCATTACATCCACTGAAAACCAATGTTTCTTTCTTGATATTACCTTTTTGTCTTTGGGGAAGTCTATGGACTTCAAATAAGCAGCTGCAGCAAAAGATGATGCGAAAATTTCCTCCTGAAAATGTTTTCATGCGGATAATGTTACCGAGACAACGAAATTTCACCGTCATAATAAGTAGAAATATGATGACGAACTAACCTCACTGACACTCAGGCCAAGTGTCTCAAACTTCTTCCCATATTGCTTCCTAGACTTTGTTGAGTTGTTGGTAACAAAAACTAATCTCTTTCCCTGAAGAAAAATGAAATCAGTAAATTTTTTCGGCTCCATAAGAATGCTCGTCATTTAAACTATTTCGCAGTCATTGAAGAGAATATTTTCCGATGTTGGTATTTGTTAATAAGATAACAGTATTCTGACAAGTCCATGCCTGAAACCACCACAACAAACCTTTGAACGCAGCAGATCAAGAGTTTCTGGGACCCCACTTATTAGTTTATCCCCTTTCCATATAACTCCTGCACATATGAAATCATCAACTAGCAGAAATATAAATATAAAATACAGGTATATTTGAAAAAAAAAAAAAAAAAAGGTCTTAAGACTTAGCAGTATAGACTTTTTGTTGTTTACGGTTAAGTTAACTAATTTCTGAAGAGTGGGAATTTTTTCCAGTGGGCTATCAAGTGAAGCTGCGTCTAATGGGCACTTGTCAAATTCTAAAAAATCATTAACCGATTAGCCCAAACCCATCCTATAATGCCACTACTTCCATTAGATTCTCATTTTTTTGTTTTTTGAATATTGTTAGAAAGGCGTGGATAATAAGCTTATTAGTACATGGATTTAAATGTTTGATTGGTTTTATATTGTTTTCAATCAACAAAATCAAATGCCTTGTACTGAAATATATAACACGAATGTCAACCAAAAAACAGGTATCTTTATCCTACTTTAATATAATCCAAAACTATCTTCATCTCAACTTAGATCAACCAAGATAAATTAATGGACCGTTTAATTCACGCGTTTAAGTCAATGATTTTAACTTTAAATTTAAATTTTGTGTGAGAACTCATTGACCTTTAACTTTTTGTATTTAAATCTTTCATCGTTCACAGTTTGGAACGAGTGAACCAAACGTGCAAAAAAAAAAAAAAAAAAAAAAACCCCATAAAACGTGGTGGTCTAACTTACCATCGCAGTCGAAAATAAAAGTCTCGACTGAGTCAATGAGCGCGTCGGCGTCAGCAAGGGGCTGGGCAGACGCCATGGCTCTGAAGCTTTCCGTTCTTCTAGAAGTTTTATTGCCGTTCCATGCGAGGCGTGCGAAATTGAGCAAAGGGTTGGAAGCGAGGTGGTTGTTGAAGCCCAAGAACTTGGAGTTGTGGAAGAAGAAGAGGGACTTCTTCAATGGGTTTGGAGAGACGGCAGACACTGAAAGAGAGGCTGTGGCCGTTCTGCTCAGCATTTCCGTCTCTGTTTTTCCTTTTTTCTTTTGTTTTGTTTTTTTGGTTTTGGTTTTTTTTTTTTTTTTTTTGGATTGTTTTACGAGTTGTTGGTAGTTTGAGCTTTGAGGCCGTTAGCTTCTTGAAGTTTGAAGAGGTTGGTTTTGTGGTGACGTGGCTCGTATGAGTGGCTGAGTAGTTCTCCAGTTGTCTTCGCTTTATCCTATGTGTTAGCGTTAGTAAGTTTTTTTATAAAAATTTAAAACTTAATTCTTATTATTATATTTTTTTTTCACATACAAAATTCAAATTATTTACTTGATAACTAATTAATTTAGAGGGTATTTAATAACAGGATTCATGACATGATTCAAATTATAATTCATAATTTATTATAATATTTTTTTTATAAAAAATATACATAAATTAAAAATAATTTTAAATTCGTAAACTAAACGTCCATCCATACGATAACTTGGCAATAATTCAGCTCATGTGATGTTGCGCGGATGGGATTACGTTTGCAATTTTACGGTTCAATTGTTCAAGCACTTTCTCCTTGTGGGAGTTCCGCCCCACCCTCATTGACTGTTGTGACCACTTTTTTTTTTAATTTTTTTTTTTTTTTTTTTTTTTTTTTGGGTTTTCTAGAAGACTAGTAATATTGATGCTAGTTAAGCTTCAGAGTTTTTCTTTAGAGCAGAATAATAATGAAGGGAAAAAAAATTAAATAAACTAGTGAAATTATAAAATTTTGCTATAGCGTTTGCGAGGAAAAAAACTTGCTCGTAAGCTAGAATTATGATTAAGAAAGAGATTTAACATACAAACCTCAATATTAAAGTTTGGCTACTACTACACTACACAGCTAATTTAGGTTTTTTTTTTTTTTTTTTTTTTTCTGAGAAAGATGCGATTAACTAAATATTTGTTTCATGCATAGTAAATAGTGTATTTCACGAAGTTTTTTTCTTGTTCTAAATCCCACTCTTTTTAAATATGGCATCAATATCTTAAAATTAAAAAAAAGAAAATGGTACTTTCTCCGAGAAGAACTTTTTAAATATAACATCAATATCTTAAAATTAAAAAAAAAGAAAAAAAAAGAAAATGGTGAAGAAGAAAAAGAAGAAGAAGAAGTTTTTAAATATGGCATCAATATCTTAAAATTAAAAAAAAAGAAATAAAAAAGAAAATGGTATTAGGAGGAGAAGAAGAAGAAGAAGAAGAAGAAGAATAAAGGGTACGTAGTTTGGGTTAAAATCCAACAAGTCACATTAAATGTAGCCCAACTAGCATTGGAAAAGGGCTGAAGAAGAAGAAGAAGAAGAAATGGAAAATGGTACTAGAAGAAGAAGAAGAAGAAGAAGAAGATAGGGTACATAGTTTGGGCTAAAATCCAACAAGTCGCATTAGATGTAGCCCAACTAGCACTGGAAAAGGGCCGAAGAAGAAGAAGAAAGGGAAAATGGTAGTAGAAGAAAATCCAACAAGTCGCATTAGATGTAGCCCAACTAGCACTGGAAAAGGGCCGAAGAAGAAGAAGAAAGGGAAAATGGTAGTAGAAGAAGAAGAAGAAGAAGAAGAAGAAATATGGCATCAATATAAAGAAAAAAAAAAAGAAAATGGTACTGGAAGCAGAAGAAGAAGCAGAAGAAGAAGAAGAAGAAGAAGAAGAAGAAGAAGAAGAAGAAGAAATATGGCATCAATATAAAGAAAAAAAAAAAGAAAATGGTACTGGAAGCAGAAGAAGAATAAGAAGAAAGGGTACGTATTTTGGACTAAAATTCAACAAGTGACATTAGATGCCCAACTAGCACTGGAAGAAGAACTTTTTAAATATGGCATCAATATAAAGAAAAGAAGAAGAAGAACTTTTTAAATATGGCATCAATATAAAGAAAAAAAAAGAAAAGAAGAAGAAGAAGAAGAAGAAGAAGAAGAAGAAGAAGAAGAAGAAGAAGAAGAAGAAGAAGAAGAAGAAGAAGAAGAAGAAGAAGAAGAAGAAGAAGAAGAAGAAGAAGAAGAAGAAGAAGAAGAAGAAGAAGAAGAAGAAGAAGAAGAAGAAGAAGAAGAAGAAGAAGAAGAAGAAGAAGAAGAAGAAGAAGAAGAAGAAGAAGAAGAAGAAGAAGAAGAAGAAGAAGAAGAAGAAGAAGAAGAAGAAGAAGAAGAAGAAGAAGAAGAAGAAGAAGAAGAAGAAGAAGAAGAAGAAGAAGAAGAAGAAGAAGAAGAAGAAGAAGAAGAAGAAGAAGAAGAAGAAGAAGAAGAAGAAGAAGAAGAAGAAGAAGAAGAAGAAGAAGAAGAAGAAGAAGAAGAAGAAGAAGAAGAAGAAGAAGAAGAAGAGAAGAAGAAGAAATATGGCATCAATATAAAGAAAAAAAAAAGAAAATGGTACTGGAAGCAGAAGAAGAAGAAGAAGAAAGGGTACGTATTTTGGACTAAAATTCAACAAGTGACATTAGATGCCCAACTAGCACTAGAAGAAGAACTTTTTAAATATGGCATCAATATAAAGAAAAAAAAAGAAAAGAAGAAGAAGAAGAAGAAGAAGAAGAAGAAGAAGAAGAAGAAGAAGAAGAAGAAGAAGAAGAAGAAGAAGAAGAAGAAGAAGAAGAAGAAGAAGAAGAAGACGACGAAGAAAGGGTACGTAGTTTGGGTTAAAATCCAACAAGTCGCATTAGATGTAGCCCAACTAGCACTAGGATACGTGCTAAAATCCAACAAGTCGCATTAGATGTAGCCCAACTAGCACTGGAAAAGGGCTGAAGAAGAAGAAGAAGAAATGGTACGTAGTTTGGGCTAAAATCCAACAAATGGCATTAGATGCCCAATTAGCACTGGAAGAAGAACTTTTTAAATATGGCATCAATATCTTAAAATTAAAAAAATGAAAAAAAAATGGTAAAGAAGAAGAAGAAGAAGAAAGGGTATGTAGTTTGGGCTAAAATCTAACAAGTCGCATTAGATGCCCAACTAGCACTGGAAAAGGGCTTCACTTACTTTAGTTCTTTAAGCTCAAGTCCATCATAAGTTTAACACCAAGGTTTATGATGGTTTTTGATAGAATTATTGTTGTTGTTGTTGTTGTTGTTTTTTTTTTTTTTTTTTTTTTTTTTTTTTTTTTTTTTTATGGGATGTTGATGAATTAAGAAGAAGAAGAAGAAGTTCTTTAAGCTCAAGTCCATCATAAGTTTAACACCAAGGTTTATGATGGTTTTTGATAGAATAATTGTTGTTGTTGTTTTTGTTTTTTGTTTTTTATGGGATGTTGATGAATTAAGAAGAAGAAGAAGAAGAAGAAGGAGGAGGAGAAGAAGAAGAAGGAAGGAAGAAGAAGAAGAAGGAGAAGAAGAAGAAGAAGGGGTAACTAGCATTGGAAAAGGGCTTCATTTACTTTACTTCTTTAAGCTCAAGTCCATCATAAGTTTAACACCAAGGTTTATGATGGTTTTTGATAGAATTATTGTTGTTGTTGTTTTTGTTTTTTTATGGGATGTTGATGAATTAATTAGTACAAAGATTTCAGTTTTTATCAATTTTCTATTATTACTATTGATGGCGCACGTTTACACAGTGCGCTAAAATACGATTTAATATGTATTACACATCGTTAATTAGCACAAGAAAAAAAATAATATGTTACATATAAGTATAAAATGCAGCTTTCTTTAAAAAAAAAAGGTATAAAACTAAGAAAATAGTGACATCTAAATGAAAATTAAGTATAAATAAGAAAGATACAACTTGTGATTGCAAGTTAGTTGGGATAATTTTACACCTAAGAAGGTTAAAAATTTGAATTTTTACTCCTAAACTTCTTTTGAAACATGTCCATCTAATAATGCACCTAAGAAGGTTAGAATCAAAAGAAGAAAATGGATTGAGAGAAACTCAATATTAATTTTCTTAACAAAACTAAACATGTAGATTATTCTCTTTTTTAAAAAAATCAATAATAAGAAAGAGATGGAGACAAAAGACAACAAAAATTTCCAAAACAAACTGTGAGGTTCTCTTATTTTTACTCCTTAAATTCTAAGCATGGCAAGAGATATTTTCCTTATGTAACTAATAGAATGTGTAAAAATCACTTAGACATTAGAGGTTTAATGGTTAAAGACACATATAATAATGCATGGATGTGAGGTGTAAGTGAATGATAAAGTCATGTGGAGTATTAGATTGAAAAGTGAGTGAATTAGAACCTATAAATTAGTTTAAACGAGGGTTGAAGTACAAAAATTATCCCCACTTCTATACAAGTGTTATTATATTATTTTGTTATAATATATGAAAAAAAGCTAAACGGCTCCGCAGAGGGTGGGCCCCATGCCCTTGTGAGGTCCACTCCTTGTGAGTGCGGAGCCGCAGCTCCGTGAAGCTATATAGCACAGATATATATACACTTTAATTTACGCGATGAACTGATGCTCTATACGTTATGAGATTGTTCTTTTGTCTAAAAAATTTTAAAAAAGATAATTCGAATTTTAATTTTATTTAAGTTTATATTTTTTTAAGTTTTAATTTTATTTAATTTTACTCAACTTTATTCAAATTACAACTTCAACTCAAATTATAACTCAAAAATTACACTTAAGTTACACTCCAAAAGAACATGCCTTATGTATATTATACAATCAATACCGTATATATATAACATATACTGAGTTAATTCCCATAAAATACGGTATTATATCAAGATAAAATTACTCTGATATTTTATTCCTAATGTTGATGTTTGGAGTGTGAAACTACAAGTCGTTTTTGGAGTTGATATAGAGGGGGTGTCGTTTTCAAGAGCATTACAGAGTTTTTGCCAAGGATAGTGGAAGTTGACGTGGACATCCTTTTACCGCTTATTCAATTCCTTATGTAGGCAACAACTTGTCTTTCTCGGAAGATCGGTCACGTCGGTGATTCTCGAATGCTCAGTCTTTAAGAATGGAGTCTCATCGTGACTACGTGATGATACCACGGCCATGTCTTGGAGAGCATGGGAATGTCAGAAATTCTCGAAAGCTTGGATTATTATTATTATTATTATTATTTATTGTGTCCACGTGATGATACCACGGCTAACTAAACCCTGGAGAGCGTTGACACGTCGGGAATCCTTGGTTGCCCCGGTTTAAAGAGATGAGCCACTAATTAGAGTTTTAAATTCTAGTTTTACTACATTAAAAATTCTTATAAAAAGTGATATTTAATTTTTTTGCTATAGTGAAAATTTTTTACTTAAAATCACATATCAGTTTAAATTAAAAACTTAAATTCGTGATCTAAATGAGACCATAGAAGAGAAACAATGTCCTGAGAGAGAAGTAAGAGAGAGAGTGTGAGCAAAATAAATTCTTGTAACATGAAAAGCCTAGAGAGCTGGATTTTCTCAGGTGTTTCTTACTGGATTTTCTCGGGAAAAGGCTTGGGTTCAAGATTGTAGTTTTCTGCAGTTTGTTTTTTTCTTCTCTTGTAGTTGTCTTGAATATTAAATAGTGCAAATCGAATTACTCTCTGGAGTTCGCGGGGACGTAGACAGAATTTTTACCGAACATCGATAACAAATTGTGCATGTTCTTGTGTTCTTAATTTCTTGAATCTGGTTTGGTTTGAAATTGGTGTTGGATTAATTCCCAACAACAACTATCTTAAGGTCTGCTTGATTAGCGACCTTTCTACGTTACAAGCAAAACTTAAACAAAACAAAACAAAATTACATATTTCCCTCACATATGAAATTATATCGTTAGATATACATAGCTAGTGACGAGATAGAAGAAGGATATATCTATAGTTCATGCAGAAAAGTGATCTGTTTTAAGTTGAAATCCTTGGTTAAGAAAAGCCCCCGTAACCCACAGCTTCAAGTTTGGCAAATTTATTGGCTCTTGCTGATCACACTCTTTAATTACCTGTTTCAGACATTGAAACTACAACTTCGTGAGTACATAAATGAAAAAATAAACAAAAGTAAAGAACTAGTACTATATATACTATATTTTATAATTAACTATAATTAATAGTGAATTAACTTACGTTCAAAGTAAATGTTAATGCAAAAGTTTCAGAAACCGTGGCCAAGTTGGAGTTCTGAATGTTGAAGCTTGTAAGAGATTCAAGAGCCTTGTAAAGAGATATGGCTGCCCCTTCCCCTTTGTTGCACACAACTTTCACATAGAATTCTCTCTCTTCCACTTGAAACATGTCCATCTGCATGTGCCAAACCTATATTCATATATACACACACACATAGATGTAAACAGCGCAGTAATATCTGAAGTAGTTTTTGTTTGGTTTTGAATTGTTTGATCTAGTTGAACCTGAAAAGTTGTCTTGGCAACGTGCGAATCGCTGGCTTTTGCAGCTTTTGGCTTCTTTGTGATTCCTGTTGATCCTTGATATCTATCTGCTTCCTCTAATGAAGCTTCAAGACTCTCAATCTCAGCTTTTAGCTTCTTAGCCTGCGTTTGCAGCTCTTGTACATACAGTACAGCATCTCCAACTATGGAGGCCTTGTCCATCTGGTACGTACTCTCCAAAGAATTAAACAGATGCATATATATATATATATTTATATATATATATATGTATGTATGTATATACGTATGTATGCATGCATGTATATCACTACAGTTATAGAAGTAAAGTTAGACTTAACGTCGTAACTAATTAAGAACCTCCAATTAGTCTTCAAATATATGAAAGTGATCATATTGGCTATGACACAAGTGATCATCTCTAAATACACTACATGTACATATACACGAACATATTTTATACGTTTGGTAATTAATGGACAAAATTATCTATATTGTGCAAATTATGTGGTTACGTACATACAAAACGCTAATATCGGCTGTGGAACTCATGCATCGCCCCTATTAATTGTCATCACCTATTATTAATGTATAGGTCTCTAAATCATAAGTTTAACACAGATGAATTTGTACGTAAAATTCGTGATAGGTTGAAAAATAGTAATATTACACGTCGTATGTGAATTTGTGATCGTTTGAAAAATAAAGGCTCGTTTAGTTCGTTGATTTGAGTTTTTAATTCAAGTTGAGATGTAACTTTATGTGAGAGCTTTTTACTGTGGTAAAAAAATTAAATGTGATTATTTTTTAGAGTTTTTTACTGTAATAAAACTCAAATTGGTGAAATGAACGGGCCAATAACAACACAAAATATTTGGATATATTTGAAATTGAAGAATATCACAAGATATTTGAACATACCTTAGTTATGTTAGGAACCAAGGCCCGCAATGCATAGAGCTTCTCCTTCAGCCTGCCCCTCCTCCTCCTCTCGGAAATCAAAGTTCTTGATCGATCGACTTTCGGCCTCTTAGTCGGTGTGGTGGTGGTGGTGGTACCTGAGGAATTCTCTTCATCGTTTTCTTCGTCGCCAGCCATTATCATTTCTCCATTAAAATCCCGCGGCAACATTGTATCAACAAACAAAGTAGAATTTGGAATACTCGACGACACCATTGTATCATTGAAGCCAAATACATTATTAAACCCCGAGTTTGGAGCTATAAACTGCTGAGTGTCAACGAAACAGCCATTGAGAAGATCATCACAGCCGAAATTCGCAACCGGGTCTTCGTTTTGATGATCTCCCCGCATCAGATCGATGAACTGATCGAAGTTAGCGTCGGCAATGAAGTCATGCAGCTCAAAGTCGTTAATGTTCTCCATATTAATGAATTTCCAGTTTCATTCCTATCCAATATGGTTTGATAGTGAGAGGCATATATATTTGTATATATATAGGTGGTGAATTTATTAATTTAGTCCTTAGTGTGAACGGAATCAAATAATGAAGTTTCTGACGTTGGAAATGATGTTATGGTTTAAGTTTTTAAGCCATGTATAGTTGACAAGGTTAGCACAGCTATGCAAAAATTAGTGGCTCCAAATAAGTCGTCGGTGTTGTGTTTTTATATTTTGTAGTACTAAATATTACTGTGTATTTAACTGTATAATTAAGTATATAAATCCTTCTTTTAAGCAGCTGATTATGGAAGAAAAATATAGTATCAGTGAGTAATTAAGGTACTTTTATTTAGTTCGACGTTATAGTTTTCATCAAAGCTTCCTTTGACAACAAAATATATCTTTGTAAATCGTAATGTGAACAGTTAATTACTGTACATAGGAGCATGATCTTCATCATACCTGAAGCTGGTTTTAATATTATCAATGGAATATGTCTTTTCTACGAAAATACTTTTAAATTAGACAACTTGAAATCTACAGTTTATACAAGTTGTAGTTGTATATACAAATTAATTAAATTGAACAAGAAACAGGTCTTTATCTTGATTAAAAAAAATTAAGGTGGCGGCATCTTAGTGCCCATGTAATTATTAATATGGTATAGTTATAAAATCTCTAACACTGAGCTTAACTTAATAAAAAAAAACTTTATACTTATCGAAAATGAATTCTTGTCAATTAAAATGTCACGTAGATATTTTAATTGGGGACATGAAAGGAGCAAAGAGAGAGGAAGATTAATATAGGATCGATAATTCCGTTGTGAACTATTCTAAGATCTTAGAATAGATATGGTGTGAAAGGAATCAAATAGACATAAAATAACGTTTTAACTGGTTAATATTTTAAAGTGGCAGGGACTAAGAAAACTACAAATCGGTAGGTTTCTCATGTACTTGCATTGGCTTTATATATCAGAGGTATTTCTGTTTGTCTTTCTCTCATAATGGCAGATTAATTTGTGACTATAATATATAGTTGGCTTAAGATCACAGGCAGTATCTCGGTGGATATAATTCTCTTCCTAATTAATTTCCACGCAACACTTTCTCGAGTCTGATAAAAGAGGAACTTATTACTATAAGTCGTTAGTAAAGCATACATGAGTATTTGAACTGCATTGAATTTGTTTTCATTTAATAATTATGGAAAGAATAATGCTAGGAATACCAACTCAAATTGTAATTTTTATATACTAACTTATATGACATATGAGTTGCCATTTTTACTTTGGTGGGTGTTTAAAATATTGTTACGTCACTTAGTAATAAGAAATTACATCTACTAATAAAAAGATGATAACTTGCATACTACATCAGTTGGTACACAAGAGTTAGAATTTGAGTTGGTGTCCCTAATATAATAAGCTGATCTTAAGCCATTGCTATTTTGAATGGCTTCACCAAGCTAGCTTCTCATTAAAAAAAAAATCCTCTTGATAAAACATAAAACTAATATATTTTGAATATATCATTATTATAATAATGTGGCAACAACAGCAACAAACTGAAGTAATGGGAGAGGTTTTGCAACAATGATTAATATATGCTCTATAAAAATAAACTTGGCGCGACTGACTAGTGATTAGTAGCTAATTAAGAATTTTCATTGCATTTATTTCCAGAATAAAATTTGAATTTGAGGAGCTATAAGAGTGCATGACTTATGCAATTTCTTAGTTCTTGCGAATGCATGCCACAATCAATTCTAATTAAAAAAATGTTGATTAATTCAATAGATAGATTCTTTTTATTTTGACTTGTATAGCTCTAATACGTGAGATTTATCTAGATACTGACTTAAAAATAGATAAGACTTTGATTTGATGATGATTGGAACATGACTAATGTGATTGTCAGTGTTATTAATTTGGCAATTGGGACAAATAAAATGAAGTTATTAATTTGAATGCGCTTAACATGGTGCACAATCGTTACGTTGTAACAAGGCCACATGCGAACGTGCCCACTCCACACTTTCCAATAATCTTGTGTGCACTAGCGCAAACTGTCTTACGTTAATTTCCTCTCGTTTTCAATGATTTTGTGTGTAACTTTGAGCATCCACATGTGAAAAGCTGCATTTATAATGTCAGTGTCTATATATTTGTCAGAAGTGCGAAGTGCCTCAGCTTATTTTACGTTTATGAGCACTACCATTCATACACGAATGAGTCCTATCGCTGTCTCCCTTGAACGATCCCATGCCATGAATCGTGAAAACCAATCCACTAACAATTTTGTTGCAAACGCCGACGCTGCCACCATGCAAGTTTCGCTACTTAGGGTTTGCAAAGGAGGAATGTCTTTCTTTCTTTTGGTGGGTTTTCAAAGAAGAGAGTAACTTCTTTTATGTTTTGAGGTTATTTTAGTAAATTCAATCAAATAAAATTAAATATTAGTGTTTATTTGAGGCAATCTTACCTTCTATTGATTTTGGTACTTATGGCCAATAATTTACGAGTTTGAAGACATTTTCACACAAATTAAAGGATCATAAACCAAGTTCACTTCCTATATAATATTGGGGTCCATTTTATTCCAAAAATTATTATTCATAAACTAGTACTAATTGAACTCATTGCATACCAGTCCACAATTAGACGTTTTTGGAATTCCTAGACGGGTATTCTATGTACTACTGTGAAAAAATCAAAGTCAACCCCTCGACTAGATAATGTTTTTTTTTTTTTTTTTCCTGATAAAAAGAGATTTAGTGGTGTACTGATATCCGCAAACCTAGTGGTGGATCTACTGGGATCACAAGTAAAAACGTAAAGAAATCTAGCTCATATTTTCACATCCACAAAGTTCAAAATCACATCAACCTAAGTCATATTTAACAGACTGATAAGACGTATAATTTTAATCTCAAAACGGATAATGAAAATCGATCCCCAAATTATTAGTGAGAGTTAATTAATGACTAATAAACATTAATGTTTCAATTTTTCACTCAATTGTTAAGCTTTTTCTTGGGAAAATGCTTGTAGATTCTCTTATATGTCTATGATATCATCTACGATGAATTGAAGTTTCAACTACGTATAATATAGACTATCTTATTAGTCTTTGTCTTCCTTTAAAACATAATAATAATAATAATAATAATAATAATAATAATAATATTATTATTATTATTATTATTATTATTATTATTATTATTATTAATCTTATCTTCCTTAAAAAGACAAAATCTCTCAATATATAACATTTCGTACTTTTGGCTACTATAAAATTACTCAATAAAATTAGGTTCTTTTTTCGACATCAAACACACTAATCTTTTGCCGCTTAAAGATGGATTTTTGGCAACTAGATTATGTTTTAGACGCAAAAAGTTTTGACAGGAACATTAAAAATAGATAAAGAATAAACTTAAGTGCCTACATAATTATTTAATCAATAGAAATAACATTCAGCGACTAAAAATATAGTTTTAGCCACAAAAACTAAAGATAAATTATGTGATAAATTTCAGTAATTAATTAAAGTTTTGTTCCCGCTCAAATTATAAAAATGATTCGTTTTTAACTTTAGAAAATATTTTCAAAATCTACCAAACATAGTTTTGAAAATTGAATTAATCTTTAAAAGATGAAGATTATATACTATTTTCGTGGTTATTAAAATTGGAACGTGAACTAATGCGTTACTCTTTGTACATGAATATGAACCCTTGGATATACCCGAAGTACTATTAGTACTTAACATAAAACATATTTGTGCACGTTTATTACTGTCTATTGTAACTTTACAATCTAGATTGACCTATGAGTGCCTTTTTTCCCTTAACTTTTCTGTTTTGCTGCAGGTTCAAATTTAGTAAGCATTATGAAATCCACGGGATCGCTTGAACTACTTTACATAATTATAAGTAATTAAGAAAAATATAAAAATAATTAAGATGACAAAAGAAAGTTTGACGTTATATTTTAGTTTTATAAGTTTTAAAAACTTCGAACATTATTATTTATTCTACCCCTATTAATCCTCACGCAAACAATCCAGCACTTGTGTATTGGAAGGAGTGACTTAAGTAACTTATGCACGGAACAAAATTTATATTTTTTGAGTTATGAATAAATTTAGAGATATTTACTTTTTTATACCTTGTGTTTTCGATTTATTCAAAAATTATACATTTAATTTTTGATCTCATCAAATGTATGCCTTCAAATTAGATTTAATAGCCAAATTTATACATTTCCACGGCCAACCCTTAATTTTTTAACTTTAAAAATACCTAAAATACCCTTGAATAAAAAATAAATAAAAAACTAAAAAAATCTTAAACTTACATTTTTTATTTAAAAAATATACAAAATACCATTGAAATGGATTTTTTTATGTTTTAAATTTTTATTGTTTGTAATATTATAAAGTTTTAGTTTCTTTTATCTCTTTTTTCTGTGATAGTTTGATCATTTTAAAAGTTAAAATCAATTATTGACTGAAATAAGGTATAGATTCGTAAAATAAATCTAATTTATGGTATATATTTAATGAAATTAAAAATTTAAGGTATACATTTTGAATAAACTTAAAATACATGATATAAAAATGTAAATAGCCCATAAATTTACATAGCCCACGAGTAAATATATATTAGATAGTGTGTAATACACACACGCATACATTTGCGCCGCATTATTGCCATGTAGATGTTGACATGACAATTGCTTTACACGTCAACGCTATACTAAAATAATTATAGTAATTTTAAAGTTTTTTAAGGAAATTAAATCAACTAGTTATAATGTATGTTGTTATATATATATATATATATATATATATAGTTACAACAAATATAAACATTCAGGATTACTTGGCGGGACTTTGCTGATCACCTATCACACTCAGTGGACTTTTTTTTTTGAGGAAGCACTTAGTCGTAGCTTGGTGTAACAAGTTGCATGA